TGAAGGTGAACAAAAGGAAGACGGGGAGACAATTTAACAAGGAGCAGCGACTGCCGCTATCCCGATTGCCGAACTGGGCCAGGGTTCGCGTCATGGACATAGATGGCCCGTGTAGCTGTAGGAACATGTTGGGTCAATGAAATGTTTTTCATATAAGGTTTTAGGCATCGTATGTACTCTCCAGCGCCTCAGGATATGCACAGCCAAAAGGGAAGCCAAGGGTACCAGGACAGCGACAACCAAAGGAAATGCTTCAGGGGTGCAGCCCTCCTCAAACGGGGAAAATCAGCCACTGGATAGAGAGAAAACAGGTGGCGCACACACACCTAGTGCATTATCCAAGGTTTATTGTAGGAGTGAAAGAATAATAAAAACATACTCACAGACGAAGCATGTATCTAAAAAGCATAGAAAAATGACAATGGCCACAACGGCAGGCAAGGTTTTCTCACTGTCAGTGCGGTCAAATGACTGATGCGTTTCGGGGACAAATCCCTTTCCTCAGAGCTGATGACCAACCTCTGATGTATGATGAATGGAAAGTAAGATCCTTGCTGTTGATGCCTGAGGCATCAACAGCAAGGCTCTTACTTTCCATTCATCATACATCAGCATCAGAGGTTGGTCATCAGCTCTGAGGAAAGGGATTCGTCCCCGAAACGCTTCAGCAATTGGACCGCACTGACAGTGAGAACACCTTGCCCGCCGTTGTGGCCATTGTCATTTTTCTATGCTTTTTAGATACATGCTTCGTCTGTGAGTAAGGTTTTAGGCACCTAGGACATTCTGTGCAAGACCAGACCTCAACGCTTCCATGTGCCATCGGGGACTTTGCTCACTCCGTTGTCTCCTCATGGACAGGCTGGTATGGGTTCCATGGTTAGGCACCATTTTCCCTTTTATTGCCAACACCTTTTAAAATTTGGTATGGTGAGACCGTGAAAGGATAAAAGCGAGCCCACGGACGTGGGTTTTTTAATGTTAATAATGCCAATAGGTTTACTGTAGACATGATCTAGTTGGCAGTACAGCCTCCTGATCACATCTATATGTGGCTGGAATAGTGGTGTGACGCCCCTAACTCCTGGCGCTCACCTAGTTTCCTCCATGAGCTCGGGACCATTGAAAGATGCAGGGGCTTACAGGATGGTCAAGTAGGTGGAGACTGAGGAACTCCTCCACTGATACTGGCTCCTGAACATCCAGAGCTGTCAAAATCCTGGCACAACGGCCAAGGTGTAAAAAGCAGGCTGGGAACTCTCTCTACTTAGAGCAGCTATTCTCAACCAGGATTCCATGGAACCCTGGGGTTCCTTGACCCATGACTGGCTGACATCTCATTAGATGCATAGTTTTGGAGTCAACTCCACTTGGTAGTGCCAGCTGCAGCCGAATTGTCTTTCTGTTTGAACGGGTGGAATTCTGACCAGCCCTGTAAGAAAAGCATTCTTCCTACTGGCCACCAATCACTGAGAGGCCTAGCCATGTTCCTCTCCAGGCTCTGGGGTGGATCCCGACTTTAAAGTCGGGATCTTTCTCCAGCCTGGAGCGGCTGAGTGATGTCAGCCGACATCGGGCTTCATCACGCAGTCAGTTGAAAATGGGTCACAGAAGTGCAGAACCACTGAGCCCCATCCAGCACTGCACCAAGAACAGCTGCTCTCTCCCTCCTCACAGGGCAGATTGATAGAGGGAGCCATTGGGTGGGACAGGGTCTATAGATGCAGGCAGTGGGACTCGGGATCAAACCCGCACGAGTGCCACCATAGGAAGCGGCTTCCTATAGTAGGCACTTGTCAAAGAGGAGGAGCCAGGAGCTTCAGCAGGGGACCGTAGAAGAGGAGGATCGGGGCTGCTCTGTGCAAAACCATTGCACAGAGCAGGCGAGTATTCTTTAAAAAAAAAAGGTATAGAATAATTTATAAATAAATAGTTATACGTTGAGATGGGTTTTGCAGGTTGTTGAGCTCACCACCTATTTGGGCAGGTAACGGCCTTAATGAGGCAAGGAGGCTGATACATTGCAATTTATTCTATCCCTCCCACTTGGTGCTTGGCTGGGGAGTAGGATTTCCCTTCTCCCTACCTCTACTGGCCTCCACCCTACTTCTTTCCCTAACCACCCCCTCCCCCCCCCCCCCCCTTTTTTTTTTACATGTCTGTCACTTACCTATGGTAATTCTGTTTTTCACCGTACAATTCAGTATAATGCGGCATATTCAGAAAACGAGGGTCCCGACACCGCTAAATATTTAGCTGTTATGCATACTATTTTTTTACTCTGTGGGGTTTACCAAAATTGGAGAGTGCAAAATCTGGTGCAGCTCTGCATAGAAACCAATCAGCTTCCAGGTTTTATTGTCAAAGCTTAATAGAAAAAGCTGAAGTTAGAAGCTGATTGTGCACTTTTTGCAGGTTTTGTAAATCAACCCCCAGGGGCGGACTGACAACTCATGGGGCCCCCCGGGCAATAGGAGATCATGGGGCCCCTGTGTGCTCGCCCACACTCAAACCACACCCACAAAAACCTATGAAAGGTACCAGGGGCATCTCATGGGGCCCCTTACTGAACCTGGGCCCTCGGGCAGTGCCCGAGTTTCCGAATGGTCAGTCAACCCCTGTCAATCCCTATGTGTGGATTATGATATTATTCTTATGCTTGTGAGGATTCTGATTTTGTGGCCGCTCCTTTTAAGTAGTGTAGCTCGGGGTAAAGTTTCAGTACCAAAAGCGGTAACCCCGAGCTACACTCGGGACTACCCTGCAGCGTTGCTCTGGGATCCCTTGAGCACTTACCCTGTCCTACGCTGTCCTCCCGCTGCGTCCCTGGGCATGTCTTCCGGCCGATGCCGGCATCTGTCTTCTGGGTTCCGTTCCCTGCGAGCGTCGGGATATACAGGGGACGGAACCGGCAGGAGATTTAAAAATGTCAAAATATTACATATACATAATACACTAAAATCACATAGTATAACATTCCTGTATCAAACCATTTCACATACATTTTGTCCCGAGTGCTTTGTCCGGCGCCCTGCCTGCATTGTTACTGTTCTTTCTGCCTGGAAACTGAGAAACGTCCATGGCGTCCAAAAAGCGTCCCTTTAGGTCAAAAGCGGTTTTAGACCGGCTAGAGAACAGCGATAGTAAATCAGAACCACTTGCAGAATTGAGTGATAATGATTTGTGGGGGAAATTCCTCATCAGACACTGAAAACGATTCTGCGACTTTGCTCAGCGATGTGCGAACTTGGCGCTCTATTTCACATTTCAGTGTTTTTGATTTGATTACATTATTGAATAAAATGTATTATTATATTATTATTATTTTTTATGATTATTTATTATATTATAATTTATGATTTCGTGTTTCAAATTTTATCATCCCCGGGATGTTTACTAGACTCTTGTTTGGACAGATTTCAGTGAGTTATTCCTAAAAATGACAGGCCTACAATAAAAAAACGATATATTTCCATTGAAAACAATGTATCGCTTTGAGCACAGAAATACTGACATAATCAGACCGCTAGGGAGGTTAATCATGATTTAGTATTGTGTATTTTTTTTTTTTTTTTTTTTTTTTAACAAAAATTCCATAACACAGAATGCAAAAAAAAATGATAAGTAGTACAACTTTATGAAAGAGTAGTGTCTGCTCTCTGCCAACTCAATAATAAAAAAGGTGAAGCACATTAGTGATGTCTTGTCTAAACTTTTTTACCCTCCTGTAAGCATGTTCACTATGTTAAACTGGCAGCACTGATAGCTCTGAGGCTCAGTTCACACTAGCTTTGTCAGCAGGTGTCAGACAGGGAAGCGTTTTTAATGCTTCTCAAACAAATATGAAAATTCTGCACATGGCAGCACACAGTGCTGTTCACACTGAAGCCTTAGCGTCGTGTCAAAACTGACGCCTCATGTCCAGTCAGGAGGAGTTGAAGCCTCCCATTCAAGTCTATGGTGCTGCTCCGCAAATGCCTGCCAGGTCTATGGTGCTGCTCCGCAAACGCCTGGCAGGCATTCGCGGTGCGGTTGCGGAGTGCTAATGCCATTTAACTTCATTATAGGCGTTTGTGGTGCGGTTTTAATGCTTGGCAAACACCTATCAACCGCCTCAAAACGTTTGAGGAGCATTAAAGACGCATCCCAACCACCTGTCAAATGCTATAGGGGTGTTTGGCAAGAGTTAGAAGTAAAGTCAAGTGTGAATGAGCCCTGACTGCTATTCAAGTGACTCCAAGAAGCTAACATAAAAACAGATATAAGGTACCTATACTAGCTATCTTTAAAAAACTCATGTTATCCCCCCTCCCCCCCCAAACTGCACTAAAGGGATTTAACACTTGTCTGGAATGTACCTTTAAATAAACAATCTGCTCTGTATGCAGTAAAAATAAACCGTATAAACAGTATAATTGTGCGCAGGTTGGCTTTCTCTGCTTTCACGAAAGCCCATTTATAAAACGAAAACACAATGGCTTGTTGACAACTTTGAGTACTCAACTCGGCAGGCTAAAAATAAAAACGGATCGCAGACGCGGGCAGACACAATGGTACAGAGCAGGGGAAGCATTTCATCGCACACAGCCCCGTACATTGGCATTTGTGAATGCGAACTGCGCAGGGTGCCCCGGGGACAGGCGACTACAAAGAGAGCACATAGCGTCCGTCTGCTGGGGAGAGGACGGGGCCGGGGTGAGAACTCAGCCTCTGTGCTGATGAAAAGACAACTTTATTGATCACAATGAGTGTATTCTGCACCCACGTCCAGTCTGTGAAATCTTGTGGGAACAAGACGTGGCACATTTCGAAGATTCTTCCTTCTTTGCGGATCAGATGCAACGATAAGAACCTTCCGAGGCTCTCCATCAGCTGCGTACATTTAATGTTAAGAATATCAATAAACCAAATGTCTGCATAGAACAGAAGAAAACGTCTCAGAGAATAACATTTTATGTATTAACAAATTATATGGTAGAATTTTTTTTGATGATGAATTCTTATGGACTTTGAAGTGTACACCGATCAGCTATGACAATATGACCACTCATTAACAATGACATTTGGGGTATATTAGGCAGCAAGTGAACATGTTGTCTCTGAAGTTGAAGTGTTGAAAACAGACGAAATGGGCAAGCATAAGGGTTTTAGTGACTTTGACAAGGGCCAATTTGTAATGGTAAGACCAGTGGTTCTCAACCTTTTTTCAGTCAAGGCACCCTTAAAATTATGGACAATCCCGAGGCATCCTTTACATTTATGGACAATCCCGAGGCACCCTTTACATTTATGGACAATGCCGAGGCACCCTTTAAAATTATGGACAATCCCGCGGCACCCTTTAAAATTATGGACAATCCCGCGGCACCCTTTAAAATTATGGACAGTCCCGTGGCACCCTTTAAATTTATGGACAGTCCCGAGGCATCCTTTAAAATTATGGACAGTCCCGAGGCACCCTTTAAAATTATGGACAGTCCCGCAGCACCCTTTAAATTTATGGACAATCCCGAGACATCCTTTAAAATTATGGACAGTCCCACGGCACCCTTTAAAATTATGGACAATCCTGAGGCACCCTTTAAAATTATGGACAATCCCGAGGCACCCTTTACATTTATGGACAATCCCGAGGCACCCTTTAAATTTATGGACAATCCCGAGGCACCCTTAAAATTATGGACAATCCCGAGGCACCCTTTACATTTATGGACAATCCCGAGGCACCCTTTAAAATTATGGACAGTCCCACAGCACCCTTTAAATTTATGGACAGTCCCAAGGCATCCTTTAAAATTATGGACAATCCCGAGGCACCCTTTAAATTTATGGACAATCCCGAGGCACCCTTTAAATTTATGGACAATCCCGAGGCACCCTTTACATTTATGGACAATCCCGAGGCACCCTTTAAAATTATGGACCCTTTAAAATCAATCCGAGGCACCCTTAAAATTACAGACAGTCCCGTGGCACCCTTTAAATTTATGGACAATCCCGAGGCATCCTTTAAAATTACAGACAGTCCCGAGGCACCCTTTAAAATTATGGACAATCCCGAGGCACCCTTTAAAATTATGGACAATCCCGAGGCACACCTTTAATTTTTGGACAATCCCGAGGACCCTTTAAATTTATGGACAATCCCGAGGCACCCTTAAAATTATGGACAGTCCCGAGGCATCCTTTAAAATTATGGACAGTCTCGAGGCATCCTTTAAAATTATGGACAATCCCGAGGCACCCTTTAAACTTATGGACAATCCCGAGGCACCCTTTAAATTTATGGACAGTCTTGAGGCACTCCATTCTAAAACTATTCTAATAATTCTATATAACACAGCAACATCCGCACATGTAGGACACCCAACATTAGAGGTGATTTATTCTTCCACAGCAAATACACTTTTGCACACTGGTACTGACTAGTATTCCATTGTTTCTCTTCTCCCTCAATTTTTCTCCATCACTTAGCTAATGTGACCCCAGCACTGATGGAGAGGGTCAAACTAGAATGCTGTGCAGGCAACCAGCATCCTCCTTATTAACTGATGATGTCATTGGTTGTCAGGACGCTAACAGCTAGAAGGTCGTAATGGTGCACAATGAAAACCTGTGGCTTTGTGTAAATAAAAGGCAGGCTTGTTCCAACCACTGGCTTGTATACACGTTTTGGGCAATTTGTAGACATTTTGCCAAGGCACCCCTGAATAATCCTCAAGGCACCCTGGTTGAGAAAGCTGGGTTAGACGACTGAGGTCAAAGCAAGAACATCTTGTTCTTGTGCGATGTTCCCAGTCTGCAGTGGTCAGAACCAGCCAAAAGTGGTCCAAGAAAGGAAAACCGGCAAAACAGCGACGGGGTCATGGGCAGCCAAATCTCATTGATGCACATGGGGAGAGAAGGCTGGCCTGTGTAGTCCGATCCAATAGGAGAGCTACCGTAACTCAAATAGCTGAAAAAGTTAATGCTGGTTCCAATAGAAAGGTGTCAGAACACACAATGCATCGTGGTTGGTTGCACATGGAGCTGCGCAGCCACAGACTGGTCAGGGTGCCCATGCTGACCCGTGTCCACAGCCAAAAGTGCCTACAATGGGCAGGTGAGCATCAGAACTGAACCACAGAGCAATGGAAGAAGGTGGCCTGGTCTGATGAATTCAAGAATGAGGAACACAATAATGAGTTTGAGGCGTTGACTTGGTCTCCAAATTCTCCAGATCTCAATCCAATCGAGCATCCGTGGAATGTGCTGGAAAAACAAGTCCAATCCATGGAGGCTCCACTGCACAACTTACAGGACCTTAAAGGATCTGCTACTGACAGCTTGGTGCCAGATACCACAGCATACCTTCAGAGGTTGAGTGGAGGCCATGGTGGGTGGTCATAATGCTAGGATTGATCAGTGTAGGTAGATTAAACACTGCAGTTGCTGCCCGCGAAGAAGCCTATGGTCTAATTTCCTAGCACAGGTATAGTATGGAAGAGAGACTAATGATCTGTCTAACAGCTCACTATCCAGCATCTATATCATCGGTGGTATCCTTCGTCCTTCTCTATTTCACACATGGCCTCATACCTCTCTATTAAACAAAGTGCCTGATACCTCTATTACAAGCCACACCCCTCAATGCTTCCCATTACACCTCCAGTGTTTTAATGTCTCTCTATTACGTGCAGTACCTTACATATCTCCATTCTGTGTAGTGCCTCATACGTCTCTATTACACAATTCAATCCTATTACATGTGGTGCCTGATACCTTACTATCAATGCCTTCCATTGCACTTTGTGTGTTAATGTATCTCTATGCTATGCAGTACTTTACACCTCTCTATTACGTGTAGTGCCTCATACCTCTCAATTAAATAGAGTGCTTCATACTTCTCTTATTCCTAATACATAATTCATGCCCAATACATGTGGTGCATCATACCTCTCTAATACAATGCCTCCCTATTACATGCAGTGCCTCATATCTTTCTATTACACAGTGCCCCATACCCCTCTATTACATGCAGTGCTTCATGCCTTTCTATTTTACACAGTGCCTCATACCCATCTATTACAACAAGTCTGTATTTTGGGCTACTTAGGGATTGCTTAAAGTGGAACTAAACTCGTTCAATCAAGGCTGACTATTTTTAATCTGTCTGCTGCTCGCATTAGTAAATAGATAGGAAGGTATATTATATTCACTTGTATTGAACTTTTTTTTTCAGTTGTTTCCTAGGCCAAGATGATGTCAAACAAATGTACATACCACACTTAGAATCAACTCCAGACCTTTTACCTGCTTAACTGGTGAAGAAATAACGAAGGAGTAGCCCACACCAGGCCATAAAACATCTTTTGATTCAAATGTCCAATTACTTTTGGTCCCTTGAAAAAGGGGGGATGGCTACTCTTAAGAGCTGCAATGCCTAAACCCTTCCTCCAATTTGGATGTACATACCCTCACATTAAACCTGAGAGTGTGCACTTTCCGTCCATATCCATTATAGAACTGTAGCTTGAGTATGTTTTGGTACAGACCTGAAAAAACTAAAATTGTGCCAGTGTCTAAATATATATGGACCTAACTGTATATTGTACAATCACATCAGTCCTTAACCCTCAAGGGGCGTACAATCTAAGGTCCCTAACCCTCAAGGGGCGTACAATCTAAGGTCCCTAACCCTCAAGGGGCGTACAATCTAAGGTCCCTAACCCTCAAGGGGCATACAATCTAAGGTCCCTAACCCTCAAGGGGCGTACAATCTAAGGTCCCTAACCCTCAAGGGGCGTACAATCTAAGGTCCCCAACCCTCAAGGGGCGTACAATCTAAGGTCCCTAACCCTCAAGGGGTGTACAATCTAAGGTCCCTAACTCACATTCATACATACACATACTAGGGCCAATTTAGACAGGAGCCAAATAACCTGCCAAGTAAGAGAATCAAGACGACATCTCCAGCGCTCAGAGATCTAGATGGATAAATGGACCTCCAAAGAACCCATCCACCAAGGGATCAAAGGTTGTGTAGCCCTTATGTAAGGCTGGGGAAGCCTGAACAACACCGCAAATCTTATTTTAATAAAATCTTTTGTATTGCTGAGGTAATGCGCAAGGTTGGTGTGCTTTCCTTTGTTCTTATTTCTAAATAACCTACCAGCATGTCTTTGGAGTGTGGGAAGAAACCTGAGTACCGGAAGAAACCCACGCAGGCACAGGGAGAACATGCAGACTCCAGGTAGGTGGTGCCGTGGTTGGTATTCAAACCAATGACCAATAGTACTGCCAGGTGGAAGTGCTAACCACTTAGCCACTGTGCTGATGAAAACCAGCACAGTGTGTGCCCAACGTGGCACATTCCTTCACATCTGGTGGTCCTATCCTAAGATTAAGGTTTTCTGGAGTGCCATCACACCCTGGATAAAGAAAATGTCCCTTAGGCCAATTGATGGCTCCCCTTTCCAATTTCTGTTTCATGGGATCCCATCCTCTATGAAGACTTATAAACGAAGTGTAAGGGCGCATGTACACGGGGCATTTGGAAAACTCTTCTGAACGATGGAAACTGACTGCTGACATAGGTAAAAAAAAACGGCAGTTTAGCCGAGTTTGCATACCGCGTTTATGCCCATTTGCATTTAGAAGCGTTTTTAAAAGATAACCTCAGGAGACCTTTCCCACTGCCCAGAATGCACTGAAAAATAGTAAAAAAATTAACTATTTCAGACATTTTGAGAGGAATAGAGAGAGCAGAAGCAGAGAGAGCAGTATGTGTGGAGATGATCTGTCTTTTCTGGTTGTATTCACTATGGATCCCATCATGAGCATAATGCGGCGCGTTCTACCATTGTTTCCTTCACGCCAAACCTGGAACTGACTGCGCTAGTGTATCGGGTCTATTTGAATACCTGGAACTGACTGCGCTGGTGTACCGGGTCCATTTGAATACCTGGAACTGACTGCGCTGGTGTACCGGGTCCATTTGAATACATGGGAAACACTTTGCATGCATTTGAAAAAAGGCTCCGGACAGCATCTGGATATGGGACAGTTAAAAACGCTTCTAAACGCCTATAAATGCGGTTAACACGCCTTTATAAACCATTTGGCGTTTGAAATGCCGGTAAAATCTACTCCTGAACACTAGTTTGGTGCGTTCAAAAAAACGACTGTAAACTCAATTGCCTGTAAACGACGATGTATACATGGACACATAGGAGAACATTAGGGAGAGTTCAGGGGCTGCTGGAAAAAAAAAACGCAGAACAGCTCCTGAACATCAGTTTATCGGCTGCAGTGTACATGAACCCTAACTCCACACTTGCTGAATGCGGCAAAATCCCTAATCCCTAGATTCTGGAAACAAACCGCATGTCCTACTCTCGGGAGGTGGATGCCATTATGGAAGCGGAACGCTGGGTGCATATTGTTAGGAATAAACAGGAAAAATGTAGAGATATATGGATGGGTTGGTAATACTATTTTTTTTCAGCTCCGCCCCTCCCAGTGTGGGGAGGGGCTTTACTCGCGTGTCTGTATTTATGCATGTGTGCTGCCTGGTCAGCTTTGCTCTGAGGAAGGGGGAGTGGCCCTGAAACGCGTTAGACTGCCAGCTCAGCGGGGTGTGTTTTGAGTACACGTATCCTGCACCGCAAGGCATCCTCTGCTCTACATGCATTTATTCGTCCAACTTTTTGGAGTACCCAGTTTTATCAGTTTTTTACCCTCCAATAAATTTTGGTTTGCGCCTTCCTGTTTGTTCTCTTTGTAGTTCCACATTGGAACCCCCCCATCTGTGGAGGGCTGCATCCTGGTGTTAGTGGATCTGCTGCACAATCCTCTCTCACTGTGGAGGACCTCTGAGCGCCGGGAGAGACTGCTTTTCTTAATATAATAAATGTTCGCTTTTGGGTTTAATACT